AATTCACTGCACTACGATATCTCATTGTAGTTTTGATTTACATTTGCGTAATGGCTAATGATCGTGTGTGGTTTCTTGTGTTTGTTGGCCACTTTAGTGAAGTATTTGTTCATGTCCTTTGCACACTTTAATTGCATTGTTTGTCTTTTTGTTGTTGAGTTCAGAAATTCTATGTTTTAGAGATTAGACTCTTATCAGATACGTCATTTCTGAAGATGTTTTCTTCAGTCTGTAGGTTATTTTTTGGTGAACATAAGTATTTAATTTTTATGATTTCTAAATTATCTATAGTTTGTCGTCTGCTATTCTTCCATTGGTAGTTATTTTTGTTAGTCTATTTTTAAAGATTAGTAAGTCCTGTATTTTTTGTCCATGTTTTTCTCCATGTATTTTCTTCCAGTAATGTTATAGTTTTATGTTTAACATTTAAGTCTTTGATCCATTTTGAGTTAGTTTTTGTGTATGTGAGGTATAGATCCTGTTTTATTTTTTTTTGCAAGTGGACATCCAGTTTTGCCAGCACCATTATTAAAGAGGCTGTTTATCCCCTCCCCCACTGAATGGACATTTACCCTTTGTCAAGAATGAGTTGTCCATGAGTGAATGGATTTATTTTTGGTTCTCAATTATTTTCTACTGGTCTATGTGTCTATCATTGAACCAATACCATTATTTACATTTTCACAATGAGTCAACATTCTCTTTAATTGTGTTCCATTTCCAGTGCTCCTTGCCCCCTTATCTTCTTATCTTTTCTTCAGTGTATATGTTGACCTTTTGATCTCATATAAATGGTTTTTTAAAATAAAGTTATGGGTAATATCCTTTATTTATTTTTTTTTAGAGACATAAAAAATTTATTATAAAGAAAGTAAGAGCAGAGTAGAGCAGAGCATTTACAATGTAGGAGCAGGGGGAGCTTACAGTGTCTGCCGACAGCGGGTGACCCAGCGACAGCAGGCTAGTCTGAGTCCAAGTAACTGCTGACTCCCTCCCACTTCCCAAAGATATTTATGCCTGGGTTGGAGGAGCTAGAGATAGGACTGCATATTTGTTCCCAGACGGGATGACACCAGGCCTGGGCTGGTGGGGCCCTGGACAGCACCTTGTGACTACCACCGGTGCTATACTCTGATACGACACTGCCATCAGCTTTTTAATGAATTGTGACTGTGCTAAAAAAGGGCCCTACTGACCTTGAGAAGGGGAAGGAGGGTGAGTTAGCAAATTTCTCTTCCTTGAGCAAACAAGCAGGAGTCCAGGAGACATCTTGGCGGGCGTTAGAGCTGTGTCCCAAACACCAGGCAGGGTTTCTAAGCTATAAACAAGATGGTTCTTATATATAAATCCTGAGTATGATATGACTGTTGATCCATATATTAGAGCCCAGAGATATTTGATGGAAAGTTATCCAAAGGCCTCAGTGAGACTTCTTACCAAGGTGGAATGGCTGGATGGCCCCTCGGCTCACAGGTGCACCTACTGAACCGCTTACTTTCACCAGGGCGTAATAGCCTTTATTTTGTGTTATTTCACTATAGGTGACCTCAGGCGATAGATTTGGTTCCAACTTTAAAGAGTGTCTCAGGGAGTCCTTTAGTCTCAACTGGTTCAGTAAGTCTGGGCTTTTTAAGAGTTTGAATTCTGTTCTGCATTTATTCTCTGTTGTGCAGTGAATTACTAAATATGGTTCTTCTAGCTATGGCCATTATTAATTCCACCAGATGACTGGGTGAGGCTATGCAAATGTGAGGTGCTTGTGGCCCACCAAGGGGATTGGGTAGCTTATGACTTGCTAATAATGTAAGTAGGGAACACTGTACCCTTGTGGGGCTCGGACTATGGAAATAAGGTGTATGGAAACCTAACTTGGGGATTGGCTAGTTTTGCCATTCCACAAGGCTTAAAGTGAGGCTTTTCAGAGGCTGATAGGGAGCTCTCACTACCATCAGGAAAGAAGAACCAGGACTGGAGTGAGTCTTTGGTCTCAGTATCCCTGCACTGGAGCTTCTTGACCAGGAGACAGACAGAGCTGCAACGGTTTGCTGAGATAGTGAGAAATGGTGACAGCAGAGGCAGCAGAACCAAGACATTGCAAGAGACAGAGCAGTGGTAGGCTTCCTGGCCCACAGAGTAAGAAAGCTGAGTGCTTTTGGGTAGGAGGCTTGCTGATGAGTGGGGTACCTCTGTCACAGGCAGAGCTAAAAGAGCTTTGTAACACTTGCACAACCAGGGCAGTAGCCAAGCTGAGGTGTTGAGAGCCAGAGAAAGACATGCTTTGGGTCATGGCTGATGGGAGGCTGTCCTGATCGAAGAACTGTATCATGAACATTCTTGATCCTGAGTTGTAACCTGTTACTTCACTAATAAATCCTATAATTGTGATTATTGTTTGTGAGTTCTGTGTGACCATTATAATGAATTGTCAAACCCAGCAGTGAAGTAGAAAGTGCCATGGCAGTGATGATTGGTGTCAGAATTGGTTAAAAAAAAAGAAAAGTTGTGGGGTGGTAGCATGTCTGACCTTTGTCTGGTAGGAATCAACATCAGGCAGTTGATGTTGATGTTATGCTCCTTTCTCTTCATGAAATTAGAGGTGATCAGGTGCCGCCTTGTGGCCCCCCCCTTTTTTTTTATAAGTCAGGACCAACTGAACAGCATCTAACAGGATGAATATTTATTTCATACACTTGATTGTTATCCCAGGTTGTTGACATTAATGCAAATATTATACATTCAAATTTTGTATATGTAAAAGATACAGTTTCCATTCTAAAGTAAAACAAAAACTCATGCCATTTGACAAAAGTTAGGAGTAAATTAAATTTTCTAGAGTAAATGATCTATGCCTTTATTAATTTTGTTTTTTCCTAATGCAGTAGGTTTTCCAACATTTTATGCTTCTGTTTTCTTTTCTCCTTTATGTATATTCCACTCTTGACAAACCTTCAAGGCTCACCCATGAGATCTCCATCTTCAGTGCATCTATAGATTATAACACTATTTGACCCTCAACCATATTCTCATTTGGAATAACTTTTGTATGCTAGACATGAACTTTTATTTGACTTTGAGGTATTTTCCTTGTGTGTCCGATTAGATTCAGAGTGTCATGAGGATAGGGAACTTAATTTGTCTTATTGTATTATCCGTAATACAAATAAGTCCCACCACTTGTCTGTCAGTTTGTCATACTGTGGTGGCTTGTGTGTTGCTGTGAGGCTGGAAGCTATGGCCGCTGGGTCACCCATGGTGGACAGGTTTCAGGTTTCAGTGGAGCTTCCAGGCTAAGACAGACTCAGAAGAAGGAAGGGGCCATCACTTGTTAAAGAATTGGTAAGTGAAAGTCTTATGAGTAGCAGTTTAACACTGATATAATGGACTGGGCAGTGTTTTGTTCTGTTGTGCATAGAGTCTCTATGAGTCAGAGCTGACTTGATGGCACATAACAACAACAACACAATAGATAAGTCAGACACCACCCCTGTGCCCTTTTTGTACTCCAGTTCTCTCATGGTCCATCAGTTGTGTCTTTGATCAAAAGGGTCAGTAGTGAAGCCAGGCACCTTCTAGTTCTTCTGGTTTCAGAGTAGACAAAGCCATGGTTTCTGTAGAGTATTTGTCCTGTACACTAATTTATTTGAGTCTTTGATTTCTTTCTTTTTCTTTTGCTCTGGATGCATGGAGGCCAGTAAGTGTATCTTACCAAAAAACCAAAACAAACTCAGCTGCTGTCAAGTTGGATATGACTCATAGCAACCCCTCCTTGGGTTTCTGAGGTGGTATCACTACAGAAGTAGATGACCTAACCTTCCTTCTGAGGAGTGGCTGGTAGATTTGCACCGCCAGCCTTCTGATTAGCAGTCAGATGCCTTAGGCACTATGCCACCAGAGCTCTCAGTTGTATCTTAGATGGTTGCAATAGCCTATATTCCTATATTCGAATGAGAGGTGGAAGTTTTTCTTTGGGAGGTGCTTTTAATAATGATCTGTATCCTTTTTGTTTTTGTTCCTGGATAGTCTTTATACCAAAATTAGGAACACTTTCTTTAATACCAGTATTCATTCTATTATTCAGGCTATTGTCATTGAGTTTGATAGGTTCAGTTGCTACTTAATGTACTATTTCTCTTGCCTCACCTAATTCAAGCTATGTACTTTGTAGGTTATTTTTATTTTTTTTTAATGGTTTGCTCTAAGCTCTATTTCTGTTGACTGATGCAGCTCCCATTCTGTAGGTGGCTTCTGACCTCTTTTTGTACTGCTTATATACAGCTCAATGTCACTCTCAGAATCTCAGGTGACCTCTAGAGGCGGTGATCTTCATCATCCAAAATGCAGTTTCTGCACATATTTCTTCTCACATTTCCCTGGTTTGTTTTAGTCCCCTTTTCTAGGATAAACATGAGCATTTAATGCATCTTTTTTTTCAGATAATGTCTTTTAGAAAGCTAGTAGAAATAGTGATTCTCTGAGTAAAAGCACTTGTGAAGAACTGTAACAACATATTATTGTTGTTATATGCCATCGAGCCGGACCCGACTCATAGTGACCACTCCTTGGGTTTCCGAGGCATTATTACTACGGAAGTAGATTGCCTGACCTTTCTTCTGAGGAGTGGCTGGTGGGTTTGAACCGCCAGCCTTCTGGTTAGTAGTCAAGTGCCTTAGGCACTTAGTAATATCTGATTAAACAAATATAAACTTTTCTCAAGGAGATTTGGTGGTGGAGTGATTTAAGTCCTTGGCTGCTAATTAAAAGGTCAATGGTTTGAACCCACCATCTACTCCACAGGAGAAATGACCAGGCAATATTTTCCTATAAATAGAATAGCCTAGAAACCCTATAGGCAGTTGTCCTCTGTGACTTTAGTGTCATATAGGGTTGCTGTGAGTCAGAATTGACATGATGGCATGCAACAACAAACCTTTTCACATTTGTGTAGATTCTTTTATTGTGCTATTAAATATTTCTAAAAAGTAAATATTATTCAATTGCAGGTTTCTTTTATGGTGGCAAGAGATCCAGAAAAGCATAAAAGTACACTGCAGCACTTTATGAAACAGTTCTATGAAATCATCAGAGACATGGATTCAAGTAACAAGGAGTTATCCATTGCTATTCGTGGATATGGACTTTTTGCTGGAGTATGGCTTATTAATTTACTGTTGTATCTTTTTATTTTCACTTGATTTTTGAGAAAATATATTTATCACATTTTTAAATAGTATTTTATACTTATGACAGTACTACTATTTGTTTTATTGTTAACAGTTAAGGATTTTGTGAGCGCTTCCTATGTGCTAAGATTACTTACATGTATTATTGCAGGTTTTCTTAACCTTACTAAAAGGTGTTACTCAATTTTATAGATGAGAAAACTGAGCCAGGGACATTAGGTAACTTAGCCAAGGACACGAGAGTTGATAATAGTCAAAATCAAGATGTAAGTCCAAGCATGGCGACTAGTAGAACACCATGTTTTTTTCCACTGTGCTATGTTGCTGCCCTGTATTCAGGAAGTGACAGTGTACTTGATCTCACTCAGAGGTTTAGAAAGAGAACATTCATATGACTGAAAGTGCTATCTTTAAGAATATTGAGAATTAGACTCTTCCAAAAGGATAGAGAAGAAAGAAATACTCCTGATTCATTCTATGAAGCAAACATTACCCTGATACTCAAACCAGAAACACCACACAAAAAAAGAACACTGTAGGCCAGTATCTCTTATGAATATGGGTGCAAGAACCCTCAACAAAATACTGGCAAACAGTACAGCAACTTATTAAAAGACTGACATAACATGATCAAGTTGAATTTATTCCAGGGATGTAAGGATAGTTCAACATTAGATAATCAATCAGTGTATGATATCACATAAACAGAACAAAGAAAAAAGGCCACAAGATTATCCCTATGGATGCAGAGAAATCATTTGATAAAACCCAACACCCTATTTTGATGAAAATCCTAAGGAAAATTGGAATAGAAGGGAAATCCCTCAATATGTTTGGTGGCATATATGAAAAGCCAACATGCAGTATGGTACTTGATGGAGAAAGACTGAGAGATGTCCCCTTGAAATTGGGAACAGGAAAAGGGTGTCTACTCTAACTACTTCTGTTCAATATTGTATTAGAAATCCTAGCCAGAGGAATAAGACAAGAAAAAGAAATTAAACGTATCCAGATTGGAAAAGCAGAAGTTAAATTATCTCTATTCAGGGATAGTATATTCCTATATAGAAAATCCCAAAGCATCCACAGAAGACTTCTAGACCTATTAGATGAATTTAGCAAAGTTGTAGTTTACATGGTCAAGAAACAAAAGTCAATTGGGTTTCTTCTATACAACAGCAATGAGAAATCTAAAAGGGAAATCAGGAAACCACTGCTATTTACAATAGCATGTAAGAGAATAAAATATCTAGGAATAAATCTAACCATTGATATTAGAAGGAAGGACTTATACAATGAAAACTATAAAACACTGTTAAAAGAGATTAAAAAAGACTAAAATAAATGGAAAGATGTTCCATGTTCATGGATTGGAAGATTTTAATATTGCTAAGATGTTACTACTACCCAAAGGGATCTACATTCAATCCAATCCCTATCAAAATTCTAACCGTCATCTTTACAGAAATACAAAAAACATTTTGAACTTTATATGGCATGACCAAAACTTTAACTGCCATTGAGTCAGATCTGACTGATAGTGACCCTTCCTTGGGTTTCTGAGGCAGTATCACTACAGAAGTAGATTGCCCAACCTTCCTTCTGAGGAGTGGCTGGTAAGTTTGAACTGCCAGCCTTCTGGTTAGCAGTCAGATGCCTTAGGCGCTACACTAACAGACAAGAGCCCCTAAATCACCAAAGCAATGTTGAAAGAGAAGAACAAAGTAGGAGGACTCACACTTTCTAATTTTAAACTTATTATACAGCTCTAATGATCAAAATACCATCATACTGGTATAATAGTGGACACATAGACTAATGGAATAGAATTGAGAGTCCAGATATAAACCCACACATCTATGATGAACTGATTTTTCACAAAGGTGATAAGTCAGTTATGACAGATGGGGAAAGAAAAGTGTGTTCAGTAAATTAAGATGAGAAAATTGGATTTCTACATGCAGAAAAATGAAACAGGATCCATGCCTCACAGTGTACACAAAAACAAATTCAAAATGGATTGTAGATGTAAATATTCAAATTCAACCATAAAATTCGTAAAAGAACAATCAAGAACAACACTATCAGGCCTAGCTTTCAACAATGCATTATCTAATATAATAACAAAAGCACAAAAAAGTAACATACAAATAAATGGGACCTCATAAAAATGAAAAATTTTTATCAAAAGACTTTATAACAAAATAATGAAAAGACAGGGAGCTCTGGTAGCATAGTGGCTAAGGCACTTGACTGCTAACCAGAAGGCTGGTGGTTCCAACCCACCAGCCACTCCTTGGAAGGAAAATGGGGCAGTCAACTTCTGTAGTGATACCGCCTCGGAAACCCAAGGAGGGGTCGCTATGAGTTGGGTCCAACTCGACGGCACATAACAACAACAACAATGAAAAAGCAAGCAACTAACTAGGAGAATATCTTTGGAAACCATATATCTGACAGGAATCTGCTAACCAAAATATATATAAAACTCGGAGGAGAAAAAGAAGACAAGTAATCCAATCATAAAATGGGCAAAGTACTAGAATACATTCACCAAATAGGACATTCAAATGGCCACCAAACATGAAAAGATGCTCAATGCTATTAGCTATCAAAGAGATGCAAATCAAAACCACAATGAGATACCCTTTCATTTCCACTAGGATAGCTAACATAAAGGAAACAGAAAATAACACATGTTGGTAAGCATGTGGGGAAATCGAAACCCTTATCTGTTGTTGGTGGGAATGCAAAATGAAGCAGCCATTATGGAAAACAGTGTGACAGTTCTGCAAAAAACTAAAAATAGAGCTATCATCATGATGTAGCAGTTTTACTCCTACGGATATACTGAAAACCCTTGAAGCAGAAGTTCAAAAAGAGACTTGTATATCAATGATCGTCTTAGCACTATTCACAGTAGTCAAATGGTGGAAGTAACCTAAATGCCTATTAACAGGTGAATGGATAAACAACTTGTGGTGTAATGAACGGAATACTTTTCAGCCAGTAGAAGAAAGCAAATCTTGATGCATGCAACAGTATGGATGAGCTTCAGGACAGTGTGCTAAGTGAAACAAATCAACCACAAAAGGACACGTATTTTATGACCTCACTTACATAAATAAGACAAGAAAAAGGAAATGTAGAGAGACGAAATTTAATTGTGCTTACCAGGAGCAGGAGGGAGTGGAAAGAGTGCAACCTTACCCCTTAATCAGTGGAAAAACTGCATTGATGAAGGTTATGATTGCATAGCCAATTATTGTAATTACTGTCAGTAAGTTGTACACTTGTAAAAAGTTGAATTGACAAAAGCTGAGTGATAAATATATTTACAACAATGACAAAAAAAGGAAAAAAAAAATCAACCCAGCTACTGAGGCTGCTTATATACAACCAAACACCTCATGGATTTTCGTTCTTTGGTTTGGAAGTTGAGGATTATGGTTTCATAGGACATGTCAGTTAATTGGCTGAATAGCTTGTTTAGTGTATTTATCTCTATTCACTTCAAAGAGTAGTGGAAGAAGGAGAATCAATAATAGGAGGAGGATATGGCATTGCCTCTATGAGCAAGTGCTTCCTTTTGCTATGAGTCCGAAAGAACTGCATAGTGTCCTCTTACCATTCTGAATATTTTGATCAAAGATTCCATAGAAGAGTACTGATCAAGAGGGGAAAAATGCAGAACTGGATTTCAAATTCTTATGGCCTCTATACATTCTAGATCCATGGAGGTGGTTGAACTCCTGGAATAATTTTTAGTCTTGAAGTAAAAATATTCCCTGATGTCTTCTTAAAACTGAAAAATAGTTTATCTTACATAGTGAAATAGGTCTGCCTTGTGAATTATGCTCTTTGATGAACTATCTATATTGGATCAAATTGGCAGCGGTAACTCGAAAGATTAGAGGAGCAACTCAGAAAAGGAGGATGAGAATGGTTGGATAATTTGAAGAATAATATCACTAAATTTTGCATGAAGAAACTGTTGAATTGGTGTTTGTTTTCCTGTGCATATTCTAAACAACTCCAACAAAATAAATAAAATTTGGAAGAAAATAATATTGAGATAATCCTAGTTATTTTTTTTCTAGATGAGGAGATTTATAGAGAAAATAACTTTCTGCTTTTATTTGTACAAATTTATTTATTGGTTTGTATTCTGTTGTTTTACTTCCAAGTTCCCATACTCACTGAGTTCATCCCCTTATTTTTCCTAATTGTCTTTGATTTCAGATGATCCCTTTTCTTCATATATATCTTCATCTCTATTTGTCTCAGTTGGCTTCTTTGAGTATCCATAAGGTAGAGATAACAATGTATAAAGGCTCAGGGTAAGATACAGTGTGCATTTTCAGCATACTGTGCCTTATGTCTTACCTATTTCAGCTTGTTTTAGGTGAACAAAGAGGTTAAGACTTAACAGAGAATCCAGTCAGATCCTGGAGGAGGTCAGAATTGGAAGTCAAAAGGACCTTAGAAAAATTGGATATTGTGTAGTAGCATTTTCAGATTTATGTTTTAAGAAGATGGTCCAAGTGGAATAGCATATTCCAATTATGTGTTGAGTTGTCTGTCTCTTAATCTGGACAGTAGCCCTGTGTAGGCAGGGACTTTGCCTTATTTTTGTATGGCTCCCACCATCTAAACAGTGCCTAGAATATAATTGACAATCAGTAAATGTTTTGTGTATGACTAAAGATTGTTCTGTAAACATCTTTTTAAAGACATATTTTAAGTTGATTTCTTCTCAATCAAAAGCTTAATATTTTGTTTGTAATCATGACTTAATATGACACACTAAATATGATTATTTGGAGTTGCTAAGATTGATGAAGTTCTTTGTCCTACCTTTCATAAAGCCTTGTAAGGCAATCAGTCCAGAGAACGTGGACTGGATGTATGTGGAGCTCATCCAGCGCTGCAGACAGATGTTCCTGACTCCAACAGATACCACCGACGATCATGTCTACCAGATGCCGAGTTTCCTCCAGTCAATTGCCAGTGTCTTGCTTTACCTTGATACTGTAAGATCTCATTAAGCTGAGCACAATTTTGAGTATTTAACCTCAGTTCCTCAAATAATTTGATGAAATTCTTTGATTAATTTGGTATAGGCACTATTGAGAGCAAAGTTATATTTTAAATTAGTATTTTTTGTCAATAGAATTATTGTCATGAAACTTGATATTTGGTTATCCAAACAGAAAAAAAAGATTACTCTTTTTATCTTCCTAAAAGATCAAGAATTGCTGCTCGGGAGAGAATAGCACCTTAAATAACATTCAGACAATTTTATTCTGAATTTTCTTAGGTAATCACAGTAATAAATGATAACTTTAGCAGATTAGATTTAAAAAAAAAAGCTAGATTTTGCATTTCCCTAGTATCTGACTAATTGAGTCGTGATTATTTTAAAAATCTGTGCTATTTCTCTATTTTTTTCCCATCTCTAACTTTTTGTATACTCTCCGCTTCTGGCAGGTTCCTCAGGTGTACACGCCAGTTCTGGAGCACCTAATGGTGGTTCATATAGACAGTTTCCCACAATATAGTCCAAAAATGCAGTCAGTGTGTTGCAGAGCCATAGTGAAAGTTTTCTTGGCCTTAGCTGACAAAGGACCAGTTCTCTGGAATTGCATTGGTACTGTGGGTAAGGTTGGAGTTAATTTTATTTTGCATGATAATGATTAAAACTTAGCATATTAATTGTAGGTAAATAAATCAGTTGCTAAATTCTTTTATATCTTTTTTCTTTTCCTCCAATCTTTTTCTCTCTTTTGCTTCTGAGTCTTAACAGTAGTTCAGATTTAAAAAAACAAAATTATTAACCAAGTTAGAGAAGACATGGGATGTAAAGTTGTGTTTCAAAAAGTAATAGCTGTCATTCCTGTTGATGGTTTTGTTTTGCTTTTTTGTAAATGCATCTTTCTCCTTTTTTTTCCCCAGTACATCAGGGTTTAATCAGAATATGTTCTAAACCAGTGGTCCTTCAAAAGGTAAATTCTGAGTCTACTGTTTTAAAAATTAAGTTTTTGCAATAGAAAGTTAGAAATATTGCTCAGGTTTTTATAGTATTTAGAAATATTATATCCAAAGTGGTTTTTGTTAGTAATTAGCCATGTCTTTTTGAAAAGTATAGGCCATAATACTTCAGTATTTTGTCAGGTAGATAAACAGCTAAGTTATGAAATATCTTTAACCATTATCTTTGCTGTTCCATATACGTTTTTTTAAAAAAGGTAATGTTCTGTCTTTTGAAACTCTAGAACAAAATTTTAAAATGAATTTTGGGAGGCATATCTTTAAGATTGGGAGTTACAGGAAATAGGATGAGTGAGAGATTGAACTGTGTAAGAACGAGAGATCAGTGACTTAAAGTACACTCCGTGGATATGTGTCGGAGTACTTCCTGGTGCTGCACCATTTGAATCACAGTTAGGAACCTCACTCCTTCTTTTTCAGGTTTCTTTTTATTATACTTTCATGTATAATTTCTTTCTCATTCTAATTAGGCATTTAGTACTAGGAGCTGGCTTAGTTTAGGAAATCCTGACATTCAGTAAGCCAGGCTGCAGTGTGTGTTGTGTTGACCCATCAGTGACTGCTGCTGCACATATCTTCCTGGCAGAACACTGCAGCTGAATCTGAAGACCTTCGTGGCTCTGGGGAAGTGCGAACTGGCAAGTGGAAAGTACCCGTGGCCAAAGACTATTTGGATCTATTTAGAAATATCATGAGTTGTGACCAGATAATGGTAAAAATTAGTTTTAAAGCCATAAAAGTATGCTTATTCCTCTTTAAAAACAAAAACCAAGCTCACTGCCATTGAGTCGGATCCGTCTCAAAACGACCCTTCCTTGGGTTTCTGAGGCAGTATCACTACGGAAGTAGATTGCCCAGTCTTCCTCTCTACTTGTGTCCATAGTTTTAGACTTAAGAGTTATTTATTTCAGAATTATATTTTATTAACTTTCAAGTTTTTAAAAAAGTACTTCAAGTGATATAACGTTGTTGTTATATGCCATCGAGTCAGACCCAACTCATAGCGACCCCTCCTTGGGTTTCCGAGGCAGTAACACTACGGAAGTAGATTGCCCTATCTTCCTTCTGAGGAGCGGCTAGTGGGTTTGAACCTCCAGCCTTCTGGTTAGCAGTCAAGTGACTTAGGCACTATGAAACAGTGTAAGTCAGGACTCTTAAAGTCAACTAAAAAGAACTAAAAATAGAGCTCATTGAAGATTAATAAATTGCTGTGGCTGAGTCCTCATTTTAGCTTTAAGTGGTAATGTAGTCTAGTTGATGCTAGGTTGTTTTTTTAATAGGTCCAACTTTCTAGGTAACAAGAAATAGAACAATATTACCACCATAGTGCAGCTGTTTTCTTTTTGTGTGTTAAAGATGAAGATTAATCTGATTGATTTAATTGCTATGAAGGGAATTGGTACACAGCTATTATTTACTTATGATTAGAATAATACCTCCTGCCTGATATGTTTCTAGCACGTATTTCTTTAGTACCTACATTTAACCAGATACTGTCTAGCATTTTCATGAAGCCTTGATGAAGCATTAAAAAGCCCAGGAAAAGCAATTTTTATCAGTAGGTGTAAAATTTTAGGTATTTTAAGTTGTTTTCTTATTGAGGTAGGCTAGTGTAGCGGTCAGTAATATTGCCTAAGATATTTCTTATATATGATAGCAGAAATCTCAATTTTGAGGCTAAGTCCCGTAGACTGTTTGACTGAGTATAGGCAGAGTATATATTGTATATATATAAGTATATATTGACTTATATAGTTTTGCAGTGGTGAAATAGTTCTACTTTTAAAACCAAAACCAACCAAACCCATTGCCTTTGAGTTGATTCCAACTCATAGTTACCCTATAGGACAGAGTAAAACTGTCCCATAGAATTTCCAAAGCTGTGATCTTTATGGAAGCACACTGCCTGCCACATCTTTCTGTCATGAGTTGTGACCAGATAATGGTCTTCTCTCATGAGTTGTGACCAGAGTGGGTGGTGGATTCAAACCATAGATCTTTTGGTTAGCAGCAGAACACTTAACCACTGCGCCACCAGGACTTCTTTCACTTTTAAAGAAATGGTAAATGAGACTTATAAATCTGTTCTGAGGTGGTGGTTGTTGTTGTTGTTATGTGCCGTCGAGTCGGACCCGACTCATAGCTGAGGTAGGATATATATTTATGCATATGTATATATATCTGCATGTATATATGTGTCTGCATGCACACATGTATATTATTTTTATACACGTGTGTGTGTACATACATATAACTACATTGTGTGTATTATATATGTGTTTATATACACATACACAAGTACACATTTATTAATTAGGGTAATTTCTTTGACAAGCATTGACCTAAATCTTATTAACAGCCATGTACTGAGTAAGTATTTATTCTGTGACTTGATAAGTTGTATAATCTGACCAAAAAGATGCTGCCATAGTAATTTGGTAAGGTGTCTAAAATTTCCAGCTTGAAAATTTCCAAGTAAAATCTTTTTTTTTTTTAATATATTTTATTGAAATATAATTTATGTACATTTCTGAGTAAAATCTTACACAGTCTACATAGTACTATTTCTATAATACATAAATGTATCTATACATTTATAGATATTTTAATGCTAATTTAATACTCATACTAATCGTTTATCTAATACCACAACAACATTTTGCAGTTAATTTTTTTCTCTTCATTTAAAGGATTCTATCTTAGCAGATGAAACATTTCTCTTTGTGAATTCCTCCCTTCAAAGTCTGAATCGTTTGCTATATGATGAATTTATAAAATCTGTTTTGAAGATTATTGAGAAATTGGATCTTACACTAGAAAAACAGAATGTTGAGGAGTCACAGGTCAGAAGTTTTGTCAATAATTTTGTATCATTTGTATACCAACTTTCTTTGCATACAGATATTCAGGGGTAAAATAGTATATTTTTAGAGGATCAAAGAGAATTCGTTTCTTCAGGATCAATATATGCCACTGGTACTTTTCTCTTGGACATAGCCTATAGAAAATATTATTGTTCAATTGTTTAAAAATAATTCATATGTTCAATATGTTAGAACAGTTTTTTTGAAAAATTATTTACTTGTTTCTCCTTCCTTAGCAATAGTAAACAGAAAGATAACTGCCACTTTGTGTAGAGGTTACGTTGCAGTAGAAAAGGGAGGCCTGGGGCTACTGTTGTTTATAGCTGTGGAAGCTCCAAGCTCTGGGGGCACAAAGTATTAAGTGTTAAATGTAATAAACAGAGAAGGAAGAAAATGCTGTGCCTTTTTTCTTTGCCCAGTTGTCCTGATCTGGGTCTGGGTAAAAGGGAAGAAATAGCTTAAGGATGAAGCTGGGTGCTCCTCTGCTCTTGCATGAGAAATTTAAGTAACAAAACACTGTGGTCTTGAGAAATACTAGAGGGATTGAGTTCTACTGGGCAACAGCTCATGTGCTCTGTAGCCCAGTGATCTTTTTGGACTAGATGATGCTATTAGCATTAGTGGATATATACTTCTGCTGCAGTGCTATGAACTTGGACAAGAGATAATGGAGGCTGTGCAAAGATACATAAAGCAATACAAGGTATTTGCTATGCTGGCAAATCATTGCATTTCCTATGTTGAATTTTTTATGCTAGTGCTGTGAACATCAAAGTGTGTTTTATTTTTATAGTTTGTGTGTGTCTAAAATATTTCATTAAAAAACAAAAACAAAACCATAAAAACTTGCCAAAAGGAACTTATCAGAACTGTGTCAACAACAAACCTAATTTTTAAAACACATGTCTGCCATTTTTGTTGCCTTCATTGGCTTCCCTTTCTCTTGTTTTCCTGCCTTTCTTTCTTCATTCCAACAGGTGAGCTATGATCTTTGTTAGTACTCTACAAGTAAATCTATCTCTACTCTTATTATCATCTATAAGCCCCCTAGTTCCATATTTCCACCTCCTTGTTTAATATTTCCACCAGAATTTGATAACTCAAACGGTGTTCAAAACGGAACTTGATGTGCTTTGCCAGAAATCACATTTTTCATTTGTTTTTTCAATTAATGTCAATTGTTCCTATCTTTTGCAGTTTGAAATCTCAAAGTTATTGATACTTTGTACTCTTTGAAATTCTACTTCTGTGAAGGCATAATTTTAATGCCTCCAAGAAATGATCACTTTCTCCTCAGTCCATCCAATCTTGGTGTTTTTACCATTCTTCTGTGTCTTAGGTTTATTTTATGATTTCTGCTAGTTCCATCATCATCTCAGACTAAGCCCCTGAGACCCTGTCTCTCATCTGAATTCCTCCCACATAGTACTGGGGTTGACCATTGAGTCAATTGGTGACTGTTGAACAAAATTGTGATTGAATGGTACAATGTTTATTTTGATACAATTTTTTAAGGATGAGAATGAAGCTACTAGTGTTTGGGTGATCCCAACCTCAGATCCAGCTGCTAACTTGCATCCTGCTAAACCTCAAGATTTTTCAGCTTTCATTAACCTGGTGGAATTTTGCAGGTATTTTTATTTCTAATTAATTAAGAAGGAAAATTATCAGTTAGTGTCTATAATATAGCAAAAACATTTATATAGATGATAAAATGAAGTTGTTAAAGATTGAAATCTGGTATCGTTTATATGGACCTTTCTAAATGTATCTAAATATACCAGCTTAGAGATATAATTTTTAAAAATATATATTTACAAGATGATTAGGTGAGAACAAAAGGCATGTAGATATATCTGAAAATGTTATATGATGGAGTTTTATGCCTGCTTTAATCATACCTCTTATAATTTCAAAGTTTGATAAAAATAATAGTATGATCAAATTTTCTACATTAAGCATTTAATTTGTTTTTTTCAGAGAGATTGTTCCTGAGACACATGTAGAATTTTTTGAGCCATGGGTATATTCACTTGCATTTGAGTTAATTTTGCGGTCTACGCAGTTGCCGCTCATCAGTGGTTTCTACAAATTGCTTTCAGTTGTAGTGAGTAATGCCAAGAAAATGAAGTATTTTGAGGTAAGTGTCTTTTGGAGGACATTGGCTAT